AATAAATGGTTGGGGATTAGCCTTTAAGGCTTGTGGAGATATTTTAATCTTCATTGGTGGTGTACATGGAAGAATGATTGAAGTATATTCTTGCATCCCAGATGAGGAAGGTTCACTACAATGGAACCTACTTGCCAGTAGACAGTCAGGGAACTTTGTGTATAATTGCACTGTCATGGGATGTTAAAGCTTTTTTTTTTTTTTTCCTGTCTTGAGTATGGATAGTGATTTTCAGAGGTATATCAACTGTCTTTTCATTTCAAGTAGATAAAAATGCTTTAATTTGTAATCTCTACCCTTCTTTTGAATTTCATTGGGATAATTTTAGAATTTTGACCCGTGTTCGTGTTGATTTCCTTTTATTGCTTTTAGTAATTTCATTTTTCATACACTTCAAAGATGAATCTCAGTGAAAGATTTAGCAGATGCATCTTTTTGTTTAATGTTGTCAATTATGTTTTCTTCACAATAAACAAAATGAATCTTAGTGAAAAAATTGTTATGTTAGTCAGCGATTTTAGGCAAAAGGATTAGCTAAGATGGTTAAATAAACAATGATGAAAAGAAAAATTTGTTGTCACTTTCTAGTGGGATATTCAAATAGTGGATGCATGTTATTTCTACATTTGTATTGGAACAAGGGAAGATGCAGAATAGTAAGAAGCTTGGGCGGATATAGTATACATGCAACAGTGAAGAAAGGGATCTAAATCTTGCTCTTGCTTAACGCTGTTTACATTTGTATTCCAAAAAAAAAAAAAAAAACAGAAGAAGTTTGCATTTGCATGTCGATAAGCTTGTGAAAACTATAATATGGTTAGGATCATTATCATTTTAATTGTGGTTATTGCATGCGCATTTATGCATTTCTGTGATATTAAGGCTTGCGTGAGGACATTCAAACCTTATGTATTATGGGCAATTTATCCCAATTAGATTGATCCATTCATGCCTTTTAGCAACTTATACATCCAAAACTTCTTCTGAAGGCTTCCATCTTCATCTAACTCTTCACTCTCAGAATCTGGGCAATCCAACCCTTCGCACTTATCCTCAGTATATGAAATTCCTCTACATTGCATGCGCATATATGAAATTCTTCAACATGTCTCTTCTAATTTGCACATAAATGAACTTATCATTATGACTATGATACCTTTCATCATTATTAGAGAAGGCATGAATTTCATAGTCTTCATTAATAGGCAAATCTCGATTAGTGGATTACATACCTTTCCCACGCTCATCATCTTCATGTGCCACTTAATTCTTCCTTACTTTCATTAAAATATATTTAAATCACTCTTCTTTCGGCCCCCATTGTATCATCCTCATTTTTCACTGCATGAACATCTTGTGTGTGTGTGTGTGTGTGTGTGGGCAATGCTTTTACATATAAGGATGTGTATTCACTGCAGTAGGCATGACTTTTTACAACGGTCAAAAAGGGAATTTTACATTGCAAAGTAGAGAGTTGGATATGAGAGCGTGATAGTATGTCCATTATTTACGTTGGTTAAAAAATTAACAGAGAGTACTCTACGCCAATTTCTTAAGTAACAGATGATGTTGAGTATGCGTTATCTAAGTCGATTATATCAATCAAACCAACGTAGATAATACATAATCTACGTTGATTGCTTAAAGAAATCGACAGAGATTGTGCATTTGATGTCAGTTTCTTACACATCCTATATAAAATAACTTTTTTTAAAAAATCTAATAGCAGTTTTTCTATTAAGTATAGACCACGCTTGCAATAACAAAACAGAACCCGCACCAGCAAAATCTATCGTTTGCACATACAACCAGTATCAGGACTAATTTCTTTGTCTGCAATTACTCTATATATATATAATTGTATAGGAATTGTGAGATTCTTTTGTTATACCCGAATTGAAATATATATATATATATATATATAATTGGAAATATGTAATGACGAAATTCAAAGTTTAGTATTTTGGAGGTTAATAATAAGTTAAGGAATTTTCGGTATTTTGTATAATTAGAGGATTTAATGATAAATTGAGGTTTCCAATGAGTGATGGAGCTAAGAAATGAAGATTTTGAGAATTTGAGATGAGAATTGAGAATTTTAGTAAATGTAATTAAACTTAATTACTCCTCGTATTATTAATTCTGTTGACCACTAATGAATACGGTTATTTTGGGTCAAACTTGAGTAATAGAAATTTGGAGTTATTGTCAATTGAATATTAATTAGAAATCAATAATTGAAGATTCAATTAGATTGATAACGCCAAATGATGATTGAAAATTAGATATGGAATTATATATGCACCACCTGAATGGTAATAAGTGGGGTTTTAAGCTTATGTATTAGCTTCACTATCTCTCAAGAAATTGTACAATAATAATTATCTATATAACTCATGTAGACTTATTTTGATTACAATCTTAAACACAAGACTTTAAGTAATTGTGGTTCTTTTATTAGCTTAGACTATCAGAGGTAACCACTTCTCGCTTATTGTGCATGCTAGTGTATGTTTTTAAGTTATTATTGAAATGTGTGATTCGATAAATGTCATTGAAAAGTTGATGATATGTTGATGAAACTAGAACTTGAGCTATATCATAAAAAAAAATTCTACTTTGATATATGGAATTGCCCTATGGAACTTATATTTGTGTTAAGAAATTATAATGGAATACTAATACAATGATTAATTAGGAAATGGATATGTAATTATTGTGAGTTATTGTGAGTTACATTGCAGTTTTACATAATAATGTTATATTATGTGTGATAAGCATGATACATTGATAATTGAGATATGCCGCATGTGTTTTTGCATGACCATGTTGAGGGCAAAAGTTTTCCTTGGGGGAGTAGTGACATAAAATTCACGTGATAAAACTACCATTTAGAACTTGATGGTTGGCCCACATATGTCCCATTTGTTTATTGAGGGATTATACCACTATTTGTCAAAAGAAATCATCTTATTTCGTCTCTACTTGTTCTCAAAAGAGACTAGTTTAAGGCTATAGCACCCCATTTATTCACCAAAGGAGAGCCTATAATAACTCAAGAATTTTAAGAAAAACTAAAATATATAATAATATGTTTTAATTGTACCTGTATTAATTTTGAAAATATTTTACCAAAAGGATTGTTGGTTTAGTGGAAATTGCATTAACAATTTATCTATATCAAGTCATGAGTTTGATTCTTGCTAATGCAAAAAGAAGGATTTTTATTTTGGTTTTAGTTTTGTGAAATTACCATAATGCCCCTCTTTTTAAAATTAAAAGAGAACACACCAAATTTTTCCCATTCCTCTTCTTGTTTCACATTTCAGAAGGCACACCAAGGGGGGGGAGAGAGAGAGAGAGAACTCCAGAACCCTTTGCCTCTATTCTCCATTTCCAGCGTGTTTGCCGGCGTTCTTCGTCCTACTTCGCGTCGCCACTCATTCATTGTTGCTGGTCGTTGGTCCGCTGTTCATCCGCACCGTCAACTATTAGTTCTTCCTCTCCTATTCATCCCCTATTCGTGCGATGGTCTTTGCTTCCTACAGGTTCAACGTTGCTGACTGGCTTGTGTGAGTGGCTGTGGGTTTACTGGTTTTTGCCCATTTTTGCTCAACCAACTTCCTTTTTGTTGGCTTTTGTGTTGCCGATTGGAGGGAGCTCACAAATCCTCCATTTTTCCTCCTTTGTTCGTGTTGCAGCACAACATCAAAGCTCTCCTTCATCTTTGTCGACATTGTCTGTGCATTGGTGTGCAGTTCATTTTTCCTCTTCCTTGTTCGATGATAGGACCTGCTCTCTCTCCACTATTCTGACATTACTGTTCTAGAATTTAAGAACCCCTAATTGTTGCAAAAAGGGCCAATTTGAAGGTAAGTTGTATGCTTGGTAATCTATATAAAATAAGTAAATAGTGTCTCAACTAATTTATTAATTAATTTTTTTACTAAAATTTTATATTTTTATATAGATTATTGTAATAAAATTATGTTGATTAGTGGATACTTTTTTAATTAAATTTCTTCATTTTTAAGTTATAAGATGGTGGTGAAGAACATTTACATCGTGGCATATAAATGTTTTACCCCTTTTGAGATATACTTTTAAGATTGATAAAAATCATTTTCACTGGCATTGGCAATTTTTTTTATTATTCAATAAATGCAAACACAAGCATTGGATATAAAATTTTATTCTGACAAGTTTTGACACTTAAAACTATTCATATAAGTTTGATTTTGAGAATGGAAACTGTATTTTAATAGTGATGACTTTCTCGTATGTTTGAAAATGAATTTGGAGAGGATTTTATACAGAACGTTGGTTGCTAATAACCATTAGCCTTTGGCATGCCATAGTCAATGACTAGTTAGTTTTATTTTCGTGAGCTCTGGTCTCACGTTTGTTATTTGTAGGTTTCAAACTTGCATTTGGTTTCATAGCTGCAAGCTATATTTGGTTAGTATTATCCTCATGGACTGTGTGTTTACGCTTATTTTGTAGCTCAAGCTATATTTGATTACTTACCTCATAAACTGTATGTCTATGTTTCTCTTTGTGGCATAAGCCACATTTGATTAATTACCCTCGTAAGGCTATATGTCCACATTTATGAATTGTTTAGATAAATCTCAAAAAATATAATTTTTTAAAATTAACTGATGATTTTTCTATTTAATGGTTTTCAATTAATAAATATTGTTATTCTTATTTATTATTTAATCATTTTGACTTATCAAGATCAAATGTTAAAGCTGCTTTGTCATTATAAATTTAAATGTTCTTGTTATTAAAGTTATATAGAATTTTTTATTATTCTTCTAAATTTATAAATTTTATTTTATTGAATTTGCAATGACCGTAAATTTTAAATTCAAAAAATTAAAAAAAATTCTAATGAATATTTTATTTAATATAAGTTTTATAACCATTAGAAAAGGGTGTGAATTTAGGCTAGAAACTTTATTATTATTACACATATCATGCTATTTTATTTCACAATTGAATCAATTTAAAAAACACCTAAAGTTAGGGATTTCTCAATAGGTAATGTTGCTCCAATACCCAACCAAAGGGCTACTGCAATACCAATCAAAAAGACGGTTGTCGCTACTGGACGACGAAATGGGTTTTGGAATTTATTAACATTCTCCAAAAAGGGTACTGTTAATAATCCCGCCGGTACCGAAACCATTAAAAGAACACCCAATAACTTATTAAGCACTGTACGAAGTATTTGAAATACGGGAAAGAAATACCATTCAGGCAATATTTCCAAAGGAGTTGCAAATGGATCCGCAGGTTCCCTAATCATTGATGGTTCTAGAACCGCTAAGCCTACGTTACAAGCAATAGTACCTAGAATTACTACTGGAAAAATATATAAAAGATCGTTGGGCCATGCGGGTTCTCCATAATAATTATGACCCATTCCTTTAGCCAATTTAGCTCTTAATACAGGATCATTCAACTCAGGTTTTTTTGTTATTAGGATAGGTGAATTCTTATAGATCCATCCTCCAAAAGAACCGGACATGATAATTTTTCATCATCCGGCTCAAGCACGAATCAAACGTATCTATCTAAAAAATTTATATGTTATACACACATAACATATATGAATATGAAGATTCTACGTATGAAAAAATATAGCAGAGTCTCTTTTCCGGAGTTACAACTATCCATTACAAGAGATTCTGTTCTTATAAGTTAAATAAATGCTCAATACCCAAGTAGGCTTACAAAGTTGATAGTGCTTTCTGGGTTATCTCAGACCTTGCGGTTGGCCTTTATCCTTATCCCCCAGAATCTCGAGACTTTTTACTTTACATATAAGGATTTACTTGTTACTAATATAATCTATATCAATTCTCTCGAGAGGCCACAATTACTGTGAGCAAACATATTAATGACGAGGAAGGCATTTTTGCTATGCTACTAATATTTTACTTGCTCTGCTATTCTGCCCAAGCTTGGCTGAGGAAGAATTACGAGGCGTAAAACAACAAGACCTACCTGTCGAGCAGGGACGAAAGTTAGCCTTAGTGATCCGACGGTGCCGAGTAGAAGGGTCGTCGCTCAATGAATAAAAGTTACTCTAGGGATTACAGGCTAATCTTCCCTAAGAGCTCACATCGACAGGAAGGTTTGGCACCTCAATGTCAGCTCTTCGCCACCTAGGGCTGTAGTATGTTCCAAGGGTTGGGCTGTTCGCCTATTAAAGCAGTATGTGAGCTGGGTTTAGAACATCGTGAGACAGTTCGGTCCATATCCGGTATAGGCGTTAGAGCATTGAGAGGACCTTTCCCTAGTACGAGGAGACCGGGAAGGACGCACCTCTGGTGTGCCAGTTATCGTGCCCACGGTAAACACTAGGTAGCCAAGTGCGGAGCGGATAACGGCTGAAAGCATCTAAGTAGTAAGCCCACCTCAAGATGAGTACTCTCATATTCTGACTTCCCTAGAGCCTTCGGTAGCACAGTTGAGACAGCGATGGGTTCTCTGCCCCTGCGGGGATGGAGCGACAGAAGTTTTGAGAATTCAAGAGAAGGTCACGGTGAGATGAGCCGTTTATCATTAACGATAGGTGTCAAGTGGAAGTGCAGTGATGTATGCAGCTAAGGCATCCTAACAGACTGATAGACTTGAACCTTGTTCCTACATGACCCGATCAATTCGATCAGGCACTCGCCATCTATTTTCATTGTTCAACTCTTTGACAACATGAAAAAACTAAAAGCTCTACCCTCCCTCTCTATCTATCCAAGGGATGGAAGAGCAGAGGCCTTTGGTGTCCCCTCCAGTCAAGAATTAGGGCCTCACAATCAATAGCCAATATGCTTTTATCTCATGCCTTTCTTCAATGACCGACCAAATTTTATTGTAGAACTTTTCAGGATCAATGATTGGGCCATGCAAACTAGAAATTACTGTTCTTGGATAAAGGAAGAGATTACTCGATCAATTTCTGTATCGCTCATGATATATATAATAACTCGAGCACCCATTTCAAATGCATATCCCATTTTTGCACAGCAGGGTTATGAAAATCCGTGAGAAGCAACTGGCCGTATTGTATGTGCCAATTGCCATTTAGCTAATAAGCCCGTGGAGATCGGACCAACCTAAAAAAAAATGGTCCCTCCATAACCAGTCATCCATAATATCAAATAAATCATTTTCATCTTTGGTAAATTTACCAAGAGCTATAGTCATAGTGATCCTCCTATTCAACTACTTTAACCATTTCCAAGCACCTCATAGCATTTTCAGGGCTAAGGCCTTCTTTATCATTTCTGTATGATTTGATTTCTCATTGATTGTCCCTTCTTTTCTAATGGGTTTCGAATAAAAAAATCATTTATTGGTCTCTTAACCTAGGTAAATCTATTAACTCAATTCGTTCATTCCTTTCTATTCTTAAAAAACCCCCTAAGCCCCATCTATCAAACTATATATGGTATTTATATTTGGTTGTATTCACCAATTTTCGCAATAATAGCTTCTTCCACAGCAGGATTAACTGCATTTTATATGTTTCGGATCTATTTACTTGTTTTTGAAGGATATTTAAACGTTAATTGTAAAAATTTCAATGGAAAAAAAAAATAGCTCATTCCGTTCAATATCTTTATGGGGTAAAGAAAAAGAAGCGAAAAAGAAATGAATTTATTATCTTTATTAACAATCAATAATAATGGAAGGACTTCCTTTTTTCAGAAGAAGACTGATTCACATCGAATTGATAGAAATCTAAAAAACATAACATGGCCTTTTATTGATATTACCTATTTTGAAACTAACAACACTACTTTTTCCTATCCCCATGAATCGGAAAATATTATGTTATTTTCTATGCTTGCATTAATACTATTTACTTTGTTCATCAGGGTCATAGGAATCTCTTTCGACTAAGAAGGACTAGATTTGGATATATTATCCATATTAATGATCAATATCTTTATCTTAATATCTTTATCTTAATTAGTATAGTAAGATTTGATTTTTTCATTTTTGAATTCAAATTTTATTATTTGAATTTGAATTAATTTATAAGTTTTTAGTTTAAATAATCAATTTGAATTTAATTATTATAAATAGAACTAATTAATATAAATCCACCATGCGCATATTGATTATTGAGAAACATAATCTATTTAATAAATAGATTGAAATATATTTCCTTAATCCTTATTTTCAAATTGTTATGTTCTTTATGTCTTAGAATATAAATGTCTTAGAATATAAAAAAATGGAATATTTCTTTGAAATTCTATATTCTTTTCTATATTCATATTAATTATTCCTAAGAGCGGATTCATCCCTTTCCTTTCAACGCGGTCATTTTATTGAGTATAGTAATAAAGATAATACTGAATAGAAAAAAATGAATGGCCTGATCGTGTATCAACGGCCAATCTTCGGTAGAAGAGAAGGTTCCATCGGAACAATTATTGATTTCTATTTCAGGATACTGATCTCTTTTTTTTCAAATTCTTTTTTTATTTGAAAAAAAAGAGAGAGAAAGTGTGGGGATAAATGACAAAAAGATATTGGAACATAACTTTGGAAGAGATGATGGAAGAAGGAGTTCATTTTAGCCATGGTACTAGGAAATGGAATCCTAGAATGGCACCTTATATATCTGCAAAGCGTAAGGGTATTCATATTATAAATCTTACTAGAATTGCTCGTTTTTTATCAGAAGCTTGTGATTTAGTTTTTGATGCAGCAAATAGTGGAAAACAATTCTTAATTGTTGGTACCAAAATAAAGCAGCTGATTCAGTAGCGCGGGCTGCAATAAGAGCTCAGTGTCATTATATTAATAAAAAATGGCTCGGTGGTATGTTAATGAATTGGTATACTACAAAAAAGAGACTTCATAAGTTTAGGGACTTGAGAACGGAACAAAAGACGGGGAGACTCAACTGTCTTCTGAAAAGAGATGCCGCTATGTTGAAGAGACAATTATCTCGCTTGGAAACGTATTTGCGTGGCATTAAATATATGATGGGGTTACCTGATATTATAATAATCGTTGATCAGTAAGAAGAATATACGGCTCTTCGAGAATGTATCACTTTGGGAATTCCAACGATTTATTTAATCGATAAAAATTGTGAACCGGATCTCGCGGATATTTTGATTCCAGCTAATGATGATGCTATAGCTTCAATCTGATTAATTCTTACCAAATTAGTATTTGCAATTTTTGAGGGTCATTCTAGCTATATACGAAATTTTTTATTAATAATAAGATAAAGAAATTATTTTGTTTGGGGAACTCCATAGATTTATGGAATTGGTTACTATACTATTACTGAATCGTGCAAAAAAGAATAACCAGAGATATTATGTGATTAGTTAGTATTCAAAATCTAAAATTTAAGTAGACAAGCCGAAAAAGAGATGGTTGAATTAAAATAATTCCTTTTAAAGTTGTATTTCTTTCAGAGGGCAATATGAATGTTCTATTATGTTCCATCAACACATTAAAAAGATTATACGATATATTGGGTGTGGAAGTAGGCCAACATTTCTATTGGCAAATAGGGAGTTTCCAAGTCCATGCCCAAGTACTTATTACTTCTTGATTTGTAATTGCTATTTTATTAGTTTCAGCCATTATAGTTGTTCGAAATCCATAAACCATTCCTACTGACGGTCAGAATTTCTTTGAATATGTCCTTGAATTCATTTGAGACATGAGCAAAACTTAAATTGGAGAAGAATATGGTCCATGGGTTCCCTTTATTGGAACTATATTTCTATTTATTTTTGTTTCGAATTGGTCAGGGGCTCTTTTGCCTTGGAAAATCATACAGTTACCTCATGGGGAGTTAGCTGCACCCACAAATGATATAAATACTACTGTTGCATTAGCTTTACTTACGTCGGTAGCATATTTTTATGCGGGTCTTTCAAAAAAAGGATTAGGTTATTTTGGTAAATACATCTAACCAACCCCAATCCTTTTACCGATTAACATCTTAGAAGATTTCACAAAACCCTTATCACTTAGTTTTTGACTTTTCAGAAATATATTAGCTAATGAATTAGTAGTTGTTGTTCTTATTTCTTTAGTACCTTTAGTGGTTCCTATACCTGTCATGTTCCTTGGATTATTTACAAGCGGTATTCAAGCTCTTAGTTTTACAACTTTAGCTACGTCTTATATAGGTGAATCCATGGAAGGCCATCATTGACTAGTTTTCGAAATAGTCTTTGTTTTTATCTTAGCTCGCTGCAATGTATGTGCGGTTCAAAAGAATCTACTTAAGGGAATGAAACAAAAATATAGAAATAAATTTCTAAAAAAGGTTATCCAAAATAAAAAGATGCAAATAAGGTCTAAATAAAATAAGTATACAATTTTGTCTAAAAGTAAAAAAGATTACCAGGGGGAATTGTAAAAAAAAATAGGAAAGAGATCCATCTAAAACATCTTTTTTCCTATTTTTCCTAAAAAGACTCTTTCTTTGACCAATTTTGACTTCCCTCTAATGAATATTCTTTTTTTATTGTTTTGGATTTGGATTGTTTTGTTCATTCAATTAGAACATTAAAGAGTAGATTATTTAGATTATATAATAAATAAAAAAAAGAATTAATAAAACAGAAATTCTATTTATATATTATATATAATTTCTATTAATATAATAATAATATTAGGATCCATAATTTGAAATAATACAAATAAGAATTTGTATGGTATCTCCGTTTATGACGTGTGATTAAAAAGATGTTATATAGAACGGATTCTCCTTTCATTCAGTCATTCAATTCAATGATTGACCAAATTGGAATAATAATAAAATAAAATTACATGAACTTAGATCACTCAAATGCTG